GGCTCACCGCAACCTCCGCCTCCTGGGTTCAGGCAATTCTCCTGCCTCAGCCTCCTGAGTAGCTGGGATTACAAGCACACACCACCATGCCCAGCTAATTTTTTGCATTTTTAGCAGAGACGGGGTTTCACCATGTTGACCAGGATGGTCTCGATCTCTTGACCTCGTGATCCACCCGCCTCGGCCTCCCAAAGTGCTGGGATTACAGGCTTGAGCCACCGCGCCCGGCCTGAAGCATTCCTATAAAAATTATCAAGCATGGACAACATGGTGAGACTCCCATCTCTACAAAAAAATATAAAAGTTAGCTGGGCTTGGTGGTACATGCCTATAGTCCCAGCTACTCAGGAGGATGAGGGGGGAGGATTGCCTGTGCCCAGGAGGCAGAGGTTGCAATGAGCCAAGACGGTGCTACTGCACTCCAGCCTGGGCAACAGAGCAAGACACTGTTTCAAAAAAAATAAAAATAAAAAAAAACCCTCAATCGCAAACTTCTATATTTAACTTATAGTTACTATAGTTAACTTATACTTGACAGGAAACACAAGAGGCAAAGAAATCATGGGGATACAATCAGCAAAGTCTAGAATGTGGGGATACAGAATTACTTGTTTCCTTCAACAAATAATGTTTTTAAATAAGATTAGAAATGGCCAGGAGCAGTGGCTCACACTTGTAATACAAGCACTTTTGCAGGCCAAGGCAGCCAGATCACGAGGTCAGGAAATCAAGACCATCCTGGCTAAGATGGTGAAATCCCCCCGTCTCTACTAAAAGTACAAAAAGTTGGCCGGGAGTGGTGGCACACGCGTGTAATCCCAGCTACTCAGGAGGCTGAAGCAGAGAATCACTTGAACCTGGGAGGCAGAGGTTGCAGTTAGCAGAGATGGGCCACTGCACTCCAGGCTGGCGACAGCGCAAGGCTTTGTCAAAAAAAAAAAAAAAAAAAAAAAAAAGGGGGGAAACAAAAAAAAAAAAAAAAAAAAAAAAAAAAGATGAGAGACACTGTAGATGTAAAAGAGAGCCAAGATACACATTTACACATTAGTCAAATGCAATTTATAGAACTTTTTTGGATCCTGATTTGAACTATTTTTTTTTAAATCTTTCAGCTAAGCAGATCTCAGTGGGAAGTGCCTATAGTCCCTGGACTGCTACTGAGGACACTGAGGCAGGAGAATTACTTGAGCCTTGGTGTTTGATGCTGTGGTCACTATGACCATACCCAGAAATAGCCACTGCACTCCAGTCTCGGCAATACAGTGAGACCCCCATCCCTAAAAATAAAAATTAGCCTACTGAGAAATTTAAATACTAAGGAATTACTATCAACTTTCAAAAGTATAACCATTATGGTTATGATTCTAAAAAATAGTCTTGCTGAGATTTTTCTCAAAATATCCCAGAATTAAAAACTAATAAAGGCGGACAATCAATTTACTATCCCCTATACATTTGTAATTTTTGAGATTTTCCATAACACAAATAAAAAATATATACATTATACCAAAATGTTAGTGATTATCTGTGTGACAGCTTTTCAGGTGATTTTCTTATATTTTGTTTATTTTCACATTTTTCATTAAGAAAATACAATTCCTTGTGAAACCATAAAAAGTAATAGAGGGTAACAGTAATTAAATTTGTTTTTCAGAAAAGCCAATCTGGTACTTTTGACAATAAATGAGAGCTTGACTAGGATTATGGAAGTCAATTAACTCCTGACTTCAGGAGATCCACCAGCCTCAGCCTCCCTATGATGCTGGGATTAGAGTGAGCCACTGTGCCCAGCCTAAAAGTGGTTTTTTAAACTGCAAGTTGAGTAGATACCATAATCAATTTTAGTGGGCCTTGACTTTTTTTTTTGAGACAGTGTCTTGCTCTATTGCCCAGGCTGGAGTGCAGTGGCTTGAACTCAGCTCACTGCAACCTCCGACTCCTAGGTTCTAGCAATCTTCCTGCCTCAGCCTCCTGAGTAGCTGGGACTACAGATGCATACCACCGCACCCAGCTGACTTTTGTATTTTTAGTAGAGACGAGGTTTCACCACGGTGGCCAGACTGGTTTCAAACTCCTGGCCTCATGTGACCAACACGTCTCAGCCTCCCAATGTTTTGAGATTACAGGTGTGAGCCACAGCACTTGGTCCCTTGACTTATTTTTAAACGAAAAACTATCACTGCATCCCTAGAGAAAAGGAAAGGTATTATATAAAATTTTCTTATGAAGATCTAAAGAGTTTGAACTTCAGGTAAAAGAACAACAGTAGACAATATAGTTGTGCTTTTTTTTAAATATAAGAATGTGGTCAGCCATGGTGCCTCATGCCTGTAATCCCAGTACTTTGGGAGACCAAGGCAGGAGGATCACCTGAGGGCAGGAGTTAAAGACTATCCTGGCCAACATGGCAAAACCCCATCTCTACTAAAAATACAAAAAATTAGCTGGGTGTAGTGGTAGGCAACTTCTTGGAGGCTGAGGCATAAGAATCGCTTAAACCTGGGAGGAGAGGTTGCAGCAGTAAGCCTAGATCACACTACTGCCCTACAGCCTGGGGTAGAGAGGGAGACTGTCTTCAAGGAAAAACAAGTAAGAATGTGACACATTAAAAACATGCTAAGAAACATTTAAGGTTTGTCAGAACTGAAGATGCTCTAATTCATTCATATTTTGATGTAAAAAGTGAGAAAAGAAGAAAAGAATCTGGTTTCAGAAATGAGCATATGATTTCAGTTTTGTAAAAGTCTTCAACAAGGAAAAAGAATAAAGTTCTTAAGACAAGGTTAGGGGTTATAAAAACTTAAATTATAGTAATAATTTCTGACTAGGCCAAATTCACACTCCTTTAACAACTGTTAACTCCTTTGGGAGATGGTCCTTTGGGAGACCATCTTCTTCCCTAAAACACCTCTCTGCTCTGGTCAGATAGTGTCTACTACCCCACCCTTTCCCCTAACCTCTCCGGAACATATTAGATGTATTTTTTTTTTTGAAATGGGAGTCTCGCTGTCATCCAAGCTAGAGTGCAACAGTGAGCTCTCAGCTCACCGAAACCTCCTCCGCCTCCCAGGTTTAAGCGATTCTCCTACCTTAGCCTCCCAAGTAGCTGGGATTATAGGTGTGCACCACCACGCCTGGCTAATTTTTGTATTTTTAAGTAGAGATGGGGTTTCACCATGTTGGTCAGGGTGCTCTTGAACCCCTGACCTCATGATCCACCTACCTCAGCCTCCCAAAGTGCTGGGATTACAGGCATGAGCCACTACACCCAGCTATTAGATGTAATTTTAAGCTCTATTTCCACACCTGTTGTTTCCACAGTTCCTGGCAAAATGCTATATAAGTCCACCAGGTACTTAAGCACAAGATAACTGGTAGTCAGAGCTATTACTGTTAGCTATAACCCAAAAAAGGCCGGGCGCAGTGGCTCACGCCTATAATCCTAGCACTTTGGGAGGCCGAGGTGGGTGGATCACAAGGTCAAGAGATAGAGACCATCCTGGTCAACATGGTGAAATCCCGTCTCTACTAAAAATACAAAACATTAGCTGGGCATGGTGGCGCATGCCTGTGATCCCAGCTGCTCAGGAGGTTGAGGCAGGAGAATTGCCTGAACCCAGGAGGCGGAGGTTGTGGTGAGCCGAGATCGCGCCATTGCACTCCAGCCTGGGTAATAAGAGTGAAACTCCGTCTCAAAAAAAAAATAACCCAAATAAGAAAACCAGCATAAGGCAGGACACACTGGCTCACACCTGTATTCTCAGGGGGCTGACACAAGAGGATTGTTTGAATCCAGGAGTTCAAGAGTAGCCTAGGCAACATGAGACCTCATCGCTATAAAAAATTTAAAAATTAGCCAGCTGTACATGGTGTCACACACCTGTAGTCCCAGCTACTCAGGGAGCTGAGGTAGATCACTTGAGCCTATGAGGTGGAAGCTGAGGTGAGCTGCGACTGTGCCACTGTACTACAGCCTGAGTCAGAGTGATACCCTGTCTTAAAAAAAGAAAGAAAAGAAGAAAGGAAAAGGGAGATAGAAAGGCAGGAAGGAAGAAAAGAAAGGAAAAAGAAAACCAGAACAACCTAAAGGTATAAGCCTATTAGCCACTTAAAAAATAAAAGGATGGGAGTGGTGGCTCACATCTGCAATCCCAGGACTTTGGGAGATTGAGGTGGGCAGATCACCTGCGGTCAGGTGTTCCAGACCAGCCTGGCCAACACGATGAAACCTTATCTCTACTAAAAATAAAAAAATGAGCTGGGCAGGGTGGTGGGCACCTGTAATCACAGCTACTCGGGAGGCAGAAGCAGGAGAATCGCTTGAACTCAGAAAATGGAGACTGCGGTGAGCCGAGACTGTGTCCCAGCATGGGCCACCACAGAGCTCCATTTCAACAAAAAAAGAAAAGTCTATGAAGGTCAGATGACATTAGTTTCAGATTAGTCTTAAGTCTACCAAAGGTTGGTAGACAGCTTCAAACATTTTGGCAGCTTCACCTATAAATGATACATAATATTAGGGCCGGGCGCGGTGGCTCAAGCCTGTAATCCCAGCACTTTGGGAGGCCGAGGCGGGTGGATCACGAGGTCAAGAGATCGAGACCATCCTGGTCAACATGGT